AAAACACATCAGAAAAGTTTATAAACAAAGTTATTATTTTTACAGTACTCTTATTAAGAATCAGCGTTATGTTCTTTCCATACCAGCACGACATCTTATTGTTATTTTGGAAATATATAACAAAGTTATATAATCAAGTGTAGCATATGAACATTTATGATCTTTTTTCGGGTAAAGAGTAGAGAATTTTATTTACCTCCAATAGATAGTAAAAACTTATTCAAGTACAGTATGAAAATGAAAAATGTACCCCCCCACATCCATGTCTACACGAAAACGAAAATTTTAAGTGAAATAAAAACTGGCTTAATAGAAGTGTCAAACTGAGGTGCAAGTTGTTTTAACTTTTTCTAGATTAGATAATAAGTACAGATAATCAGATAGAAATGTGTCAGGTAAAGAAAAAGCTGAACACACATACACACAGAAACATAAACACAGGCACTCTCATAAACACACACAGAAACACAAACACAGGCATTCTCATAAACACACACAGAAACACAAACACAGGCATTCTCATAAACACACACAGAAACACAAACACAGGCACTCTCATAAACACACACAGAAACATACACACACAAACATTTTAAAAGAAAAGTTTTAAAAGAAATTAAATAAATGTCTAATATAATTATTTTATTGTGACGATGAAGAATAAAAAAAATGACAAAACAAAATCATAATCGTTTGAAAAAATGTTTAAATTATGTGCCAATGGAATTAGAAAACAATAATTCAAAGTGTTTAATACGTATATTAAGCAGAGCAATCTAATATTAAAACCAAAACAATTGTGAATATATATATTCTGTGTATACGTTATTTTTATAGATGTAATTTATTTAAGTTTTTGCTCTGTTTTTTAATTAACAGTATTAATTACATTTACCAGGCTGAATTTTCGAGAAATTTCGTAGAAAATATGTACTTCTTCGACAAGAATCGAACCTGTAACCCTAATGGTTAATTCGAACGTTACTAACCAGACACTTCTTTGTGGTTGAATGGTTAACAGCACGTCAGATCAAATTATGGTTCCCATGTGTATGTGCGTGTGTGTGATATAAATAAACTGTATATATAAAGACAATATTAATAAAAGGAATGACAAGAGGAAAATCTTTTATGCCAACACGTTTTGTTCCTTGAGGAAATTTATCAAAACAAGAAATTTTATTTAGTAACCTGTATTTATACACAGAAGTAACGCGGAGAAAAACTTGCGTTTAAATTTTGCATTAGAGAAACGCTTAAAAATATTGTAGAATCTTACTGCGTGAAGGTAATTTTATCTATGGAGGACGCTAAGTGACGTACACTTTTAGCATATTAAATGAGTGTGAATTATTATTGTTGCTGTTGTTGCTAATGATTTTTTATTAATTTATTTATGTTTATTTGTTTAATTATTTAATTAATTTATTTTTAGTGGTCTTGAGTCAGTTGTTTTCTTTTAATTTTAGAAATATTTTTATGGTCATACATAAATATGTTATCTTGAGAAAGAATCATTTATTTTTAAGAAAGGAGACATTTTTAAAAAATCAGGGTGTAATTTAATTATCTGGTAAGAACCAATTATAGCACTTTCAATAATTTTTTGTCTAAGTAAGTTATTTTCTCTCTTAATAAGCATGGCATTTAGGAGATCGAAACTGGCCTAAATTACTACCTAAATATACTATCTCTCTATCTATCTTCTCTCTCTCTCTATGTATGTATGTATGCATGCATCTATCTATCTATCTATCTATCTATCTATCTATCTATCTATCTATCTATCTATCTATCTATGTGTGCGTGTGTGTGTGTGTGTGTGTGTGTGTGTGTGTGTGTGTGTGTGTGTGCGCGCACGCGTGTGCGCTTGTGTGTGTTTGTTTGGTTTGGTTTGTTTTGTTTTACGGCATATCAACCACAATGGGTTATTTAATGCCGACAATTGTTATTGCTGGCAATATTTTTCTTCAAAAATGTATTGCTGGTAATATTTATTTTCCTTCAAAAATGTATTTCTGGTAATATTTTTTTCTTCAAAAATCTATATCTGGTAATATTTTTCCACTAAAAATGTATTTCTGGTAATATTTTTCAAAAATGTATAGCTGGTAATATTTTTTTTTCAAAAATGTGTTGCTGGTAATAATGTATTGCTGGTAGTAATTTTTATAAAGTATTTCTGGTATTAAAACCTATTTTCACACTTTCATAGTGTTTTGACCTCAGTTTGCGGGGGGGGGGGTAAATATTTATCCATAACTGGGTCCCTAACAGGTGCTACCATCCCGGGTCAGGGTGGACCTGGGAACATCAGCAATTAAGAGGTGGTTCACGCTCCACAAAACCTGATCAGAGACCATGCTGTTGGACATAGTTTATCGTTATACCCAGGACGGTGTGTGTGTGTATATGTGTGTGTGTGAAAGTAACGTTGGATGTGAATCAGATATAATGATAAATATACAAATAAGTTATGCTACATAAAAAAGAAAACAAAAATTTTCACAAATGTTCAACAACAAACCTACGTCATGTTTTGTTTGATTAATGTAGCTTTTCTTTTTTTTTTCTGAAATAATTTGTTTTCTGATGACACTATTCGTTGGCGGAAGATGTCAAAGTAGAAGTTTCACAAATTTTCTTATACATTTACTCCCTCCCTCTCACACACAAATGTACAATAAAATTCATTAAATATTTAGACTTAACTCAATGCAGAATTAAGTCTACAGCAGCATAGCAAAGACAGTGAAATAAAGTAGTGTGAGATCGTTACTAATGAGTCACATTGGGGAAAGAATGCAAAATTGAATTTTGAACTTGCTTAAATCGGCCTTATGCTGATTAATCGGAATATATTTACTAAGCTTGGGTTAAGTACTGATCACAGTAACGTAACACCCAGTAGGCACGGTGGTGTAATGGATAGTGGCTCGGATTGAGGTGGTTCCACCCTACTCAAAACCTCCTGATCAGAGGCCTTGCATAGTTTATCGTCATACCCGTCGAGTTCGAATTCCAGTCGAATCCCTTACGTTCACTTACGTGCTAATACCCTTGGGAAAGGTATGAATCCTCTTCTTCTCTGTCTCTCTCTCCAGCTATGAGTAAATAGCAGGACATACTGGGTTCTATAGCCTTGAATGGTCTACCGCAGAAAGAAATGTCAACCTACTGCGGGAAAAAAAATCTGCCTCGTCAGTCATGTATCGAAAAATACTTGATCGCCTAGGTGTGTATCACGCATGGCACATAACTGACTGAATGTAACACCCAATGAGACAAGTTTTTAATAATCGCTTTACGATAAGTGACCTATAAGTCTGGTTGTCGGCACCCGTTCGTATCCGAGCATCGGGATCGTCATCCTTTCTCCCCATTCCCCCTTTGTGGATAAGGGAGAGTCTGACAAGGCCATTTGCATGAATTTGATTTTGGTAGTAAACTCTGCGCGACGAGTAGTCCACACACTCGCGGCTCAAAGGGGATTGAGAAAGGGAATATCTGGCAAACCTGGTTGCATCGGGCTGTCGGATTTTTGGTCTATCAAAGTCCGTCTTGGTTACTCCAGTCCGACTGGCGTTGCCCTCTTCCACCGGTTTGGCCGTTAGTACCGTGAAAATCTTTGCCTGTTCCGCCGTTGGCGTCTTCGGGGATTTGTCGCGTTCAGTCTGGTCCTACCTGTTCGACTTTACCACCATTTATAAGTAAGGACACGTACAAAGCCTCCGTTGTTGTTAGAATAGCTAGTAAAACTAATTTGATAATTATTGCCCATTTATTTATTAAGCAAGATCGTGACGCCCAGTGAGGTTGACATTCATGAAAATAGCAATATCCGGCTCGCTTACTGCAGCTTTACTGCAGGCAGTCAGATTTAGATTTTAATTTGTAACAGAATTTGTGCCTTTTCTACTCTTGTTAAGATCAAAAAAACAATTAGGTATTTCTTCCAATGATTTTTAATTTGTACGAATCTAAATAACTTCGAAATGCATTAATAGTTGATGGGTGGACACACACAGACACGCCATCTAGCGAGAAATAAAGTAAGTAAAATAAAGATACATTACAGATAAGGCACATTGCAATACACACATATGTACAATAAAATTAATTAAATATTTAGACTTAACTCAAAATAACATTTAGTGCTTTTACTTGATTTCTAAATAAATCATATATTGTTAATCAGGAATATCTACAACAATGACTGACTAAAAATGATTTTATGTAATGTTTAAACGAATAACTGCATTTAAAAAAAAATTTCTTGTTGTCTGGTGTACACTCGGGTTTCCTCGGTTTGATTTCAAATCCAATTATCTTTAAGGATCTTTGGACAGAGTTTTCTTATCTCGTTCAGAAATATTTTATTTCTGATGTTTTTGTTGTTAATTTATACTTTTGATTACTTTCATCTTCAATCCGAACAATATGAATGAAATGTATCCTAAAAAGGATAAATATCTATACTAAATAGAATTTCTGGCCTTGAGTTACCCTTAGATAGGCTTAGTCAACTTCAGCAATTAAAAACCTGACGATAGAATATCTAATAATATGATGCAGAATTGACACATTATGTTACAAAATCCGGTATCACTAAGAAGATTAGTACAAATAAGAATCAAAATTTGGTAACCAAAGAAAGATATCTGAAGATAACAGACCAAATATTTCATATGTGGTACTCATATTACATTTGAGACTCTTAGACAATGCGATTAAAGCTGAAGTTTTTGATCGAAACATAATTATCATCTCATTACAAGTAAGGCAATAAAGACGCTAAGACGCAACAGGTTACTGAGAATATGAGAGAAAAAAAAACTATTACGGAGACAGAACAATAAAAGAAGAATTAAGAAGACAGAAGATAACGACTGACATTGCACTTAAATTTCTGAAGATCAAAGTTGGCCGGGAAGCAAGAAGAGAGAGAGAGAGAGAGAGAGAGAGAGAGAGAGAGAGAGAGAGAGAGAGAGAGTCCCACAAGCAAGAAGTGAAATAGAAGAAACTGTTAACAGAGAATTTACGGTTGCATCTAGCCATTTCAACTGTAAAATGACAAGATCTTGTCAATCTAGTATTGCGTTTAAATTCATAAAGTTTAGACACCAAAGGGGAGAGTTCACCAGAACAATTATCTTGAAATTATTTATAGAAAAGGTACAGGAAAACTATGTTACAGCGGAAGGAAAGTGATCGAAGCTAAATTGCCAGATCAGGATAAACAACATTGCAGATTCTTCTTTAGATTTTATCAAGAATCTAAAAATATAGAGTAGAAGCACAGGGCTATATGTGGCAGCAATATTCAAAGTAAAGACAAATGGTATACTTATAAATATGCAAGATTCTGGCGAGAAAAAAATTATCTAGCGTGACACAGGGAACCATCATTCCGTCACTGCAGATCTAGCAATTGATTCAATATAATCTTTCCACTTAATGTCAGCGAAAAAATTTAATCCAAGAAGGCGTAACGAGTGTCTCTCCTGGAGGTTAGCATCAGCCATAATGAAGGAAGTTTTGTTTTGGAGGCGTTAAATTTAACAAGGCACAGTTAATAACGGATTGTAGGCCATTTTTCTTAGATCAGCAGCTAACTTGACCTTATTGAACCAATTAAAATTACTATTAAGACAGAAGTAAATAGTTGTGCCATCAGCATAGAAACCAAAATATTAGGAAAAATTAGGATAAAAATTAGGAACAACGTGTGTCCAAGGGTATGAAACACCCACATTAATACAAAATAATCTAGAAGAGTGGCCATTAAAGACAACTTTCCTTTCACGAATGAAAAACTGAATCAGTTCAAAACATTCGCCTAGAAATACCATAACATTTCAATTTGTAAAGACCAGCCTGCCAAACCGTTAATTTCCTTCGATATATCTAAAGCAACAGAGCGCGCTTCAACATTCTTATTTAAAGCTTGATAGACTCAACAATAATCATTAATACATCAGCAGTTGACCTAGAGAAGCGAAAGCCATATTGCTTATCTGCGAAAGCTCTGCGAGGTGAGACACTTAACCAATTCAGAGTTAATTAGTGTCTCTAGTACTTTGACGAAAAGAGGTAGGCTAATTGGTCGATAGTTGGATAAAACGGTTCGCCTGATTTTTTAATAACGTGAACTACATAAGAGAATTTCCAACCAACAGGAAAGCAAAAATGCATTTATTGTCGACTTTAGAGAGAGTCGGATCCAGTTTAGGGGCACATTCCTTAAGGACTAAGATACCAGGATACCATCAAGTCCGCATGCTTTGTGAGGGTCCACTTCTGATATGAACGGAGTTATATGCATATCACTCAATAGAGATTCAGTTCTAAGTGAAAAGTCAGTCAAAAATACACCAGATGCGTACTCCAGATGAATAGAATTTAAAGATAATTTACGAGCAAAACATTCTGCTTTTTCTGCAGAATATACTAATACCTCAAATTGAGTGAAGAGAGTATGAATAGAAGACTTAATTATATTTAACTCACAATTACAGAGCCGCCAGTAGTCACAAACTTGTTAGAGGCTATACGGTGTCTCATTCAATCTGCAAAAAACGACTAAGCCTCTTTGAGGGCACATTTACAATTATTGCGAACAGGTAAAAATGGGCTTCTGTTGTGATCAGGAATATAACGCCGGTACACTAGAAAAAAGTGATCCCTATGGGTTATATCGGCTGAACAAGTAGAAGATTGTGGTTTCACCTGTTATTTGCTCGAAGATGCAAAAGCATTAATGCCAGTTTTAAACCAAGAAGAAACCTCTGTAGCACAATTTTCAATAGGAAGGTTAAGAATATCAATCCAAGGGGCGTCTCAAATAAGATAAAAAATGAATCCGAATCAGTACGCTGGTCTCAGAAAGAGATCTTTTGAATTGGAAGTTCCTTTCTAATAGACGATCCAAAAGAAATATCAACATATACTAGAGCGCGACCCGAATTGCCTGAGAGCAGAGTTATAATGCTCTACAGGGGCTAGGAGAATTTGTAAGGATAAATTAAGTAAGAAAGTATATTGATCAGATTTATTACGAAAACGAGTAGGGAAATCCACTATTTGAGTAAGAGACTGAGCAACAGAAATATTCGAATCACCAATCACAAAAATATTCGCAGATGAAGGGAGAGTTCGAGAGTTCGAGAGTTCGAGAGTTCGAGAGAGAGAGAGAGAGAGAGAGAGAGAGAGAGAGAGTGGGGCAGATAGAGAGGGGTCGAAATATATGAACTTCAAGAGAGAGGTTGAAATAGAGAGCGATTAAGAAAGAGAGTTAGAGAGAGAAAGAGAGAGAGAGAAAGAGAGAGAGAGAAAGAGAGAAGAGGCTGAGACAGAGAAGCTGAGAAAGAGAAAAAGATATTTCGAGAAAGGGATTTGGAGAGAGTGATTGTGTGTGTGTGTGTGAGAGAGAGAGAGAGAGACAGAGAGATTATCCGAAATTTTGTTTAATATATTATAGTCCCGAGTAGAAGGAGAACGACAGAGGAAAAAGTGATAGTTAATAGAGCAATAACGAAAGTCGAAAGCGCATAAAAGAATCATCTGGGGGCTCAAGAAACAATTCCCATGCAATTGGGAAAATTTCCCGATTATCAAACACCAAGGCCATGCATATGTATGCTAGAATCTTCTCATCAAAGACGAAGATAGACTGGAACAAAGAATTCATTGATAGAAATAGAAGAATTAAAATTAGTTTCACAAAGTGCAAAGATATTTGGAGACCGTTTTAAGAGATAATATTCTGCAGTACAGAAATTCGAACAAATGGCACGGATATTGGAGAAAGAAAGGTTGAGGCGGGTAGGTGATTTTTTTATTTACTGGTTTACACATATTTCTTTTTTATTGTATCTGCCATAAGAAGATTTTGTTTTAAGAAGAAAAAGGCCAAATTAATTATAATACAAACTGAACAGAAAATAGCTAAGACTAAAGCATAATGTGTCTTCAGGGTTACCTACCGAAATCCATGCAGGGGTACCTATCCATGAGCGACGTTGTCGAGGATACCTGCTTAAATATTTCATGAAGTAACCACGTCACGATAGCTGCAGTAGTGACTTTAAGACAAGAATGGTTGTCACTTCAAGGCAACAGAGCACAGTCAGCCTTACTACTTAACCCATAGCTGGGAAGAGAAGATCTGGATTCATAACTTCTTTCTTTTTTTGTTACTATTCCCACCAAATACAAGGCCCAAGAGCCACTCATAGTAGAGTGGTACTATTGTAGCATACCTGTGGACGATAATGGGTATGTCCCCATTCACATAAATACAATAGTAATACTGTCTGTTGGTCTGCAGTTGGAAATTCATAGTGGAATTCACTTGAGTCACTTCTAGCAGTTGACTACTACTTCTATGCGCCGCTTATATGTGTTGTTCTTGTCCTAAGTATTATCGTTCATTACCAACCTTCGTTTGATTATTCTATTCAGTAACCTTCCTTAGGTTACAGTAGATACTAAATGGGGATCTTGTAAAGGCGTACAAGAAAAGAACAAGCATTGCATATTATAAGGATATGTAGGATAGATAAGAGTTGGCCATTGACTAGAAGAGGTTAAGATTGTAGTAATGAGGGAAGCATCCTGCCAGGAGCCTGTTCCACATTGCGGCAGTTCTGGGAGAGAAACTGTCTGTGTGGAACTCATTCCTTACCAATAGAATGTAAAGGGAATGAGGAGGAGTCGACCGAGTGTATATGGCATGGCGGGTCCTAGCGGTGAAAGACTGGACCGGTGGAACTGAGGAATGTAGTTCCCCGGACATCTGTTATGAAAATAGTGATATAATAGCAAGAGGCTAGCAACGTTTCATCTATGGAAAAAAGGTTGAAGGGTTAAAAACATTTCATCACCCAGAATACTACACAAACGCATTTGAACTCGTTCGACACTGGAGATGTAGCAGCAATAGTTCATTTTTTGCTCTGATCAGGCTTTGGTACAGACAGAATATAGTAGGATGCTATCATCTTTTCTGGAGCGGTACAGGTAGCCGGTCATTTTTTTTTCGGAGTCTTTTAGCATCTATTGATTCTATATACGAATTCTATGATTAGCAGGTGTACTCTAAAAGAGGCCACGGTTATTTGTGCGAAAGTGTACGATTTTTTCCGAGTCGCTAACCGTTACAAGACCCTCGCATCTATCTGATGAAGTCACCGCAGCTCAAAACATCACGTAATAATAGAAACTTCATAATAAGATATTTTCGATAGATTACGTGACTGCATTTTTTAAATGCTGTCAAATAAGATTTGGCATCCGAATTCTGACCTTTGTATTTATTACGAGAGTAAGTAAAATTATTATCCGCACTTTCGCCATAATATATCTTTAGGTTGATCACTCTGTCTTCTGCGATCGAAGTTTGAGGTTGATCGCACTAGTCTTTTTTTTTTTTTACTGCTGTTTACTAGCGGTGTGCACCAAGATGGAACAAAGTGCACTGATCCGATTTTTCTGGTCGGAAGGTGTGCCAGGGGCTGAAATTCATCGGGGGCTTTAAGCAAAGTACGGCTACAGTGCATTAATTGCGTAGAAGTGTGATCGAGAAGTTTAAAAATGACCGGACGAGCGTGACACACGAAGAAGGAGCAAGACGCCTGTCAAACTTTATCACTGACGAGAAGATTCAGCAAGATGGTAATGGAGGACCGGCGAGTTATCATCGGTGAGGTAGCATGCTCGCTGCAGATTTGGATCACTGATTTTTGTTCTTTCTTTGTGCACACTTCTAGTCGAACGGCCATGTGTGACGTTATCCTGGTCCTGACCCCGTGCTATCCTGTGATGATCTAACCCTTGGCTGATTCGGATGGAAATCTGGTTAGATTCGGCATCAGCTTTGTCGTTCCCAGCTTGCCTCCAACGTCTGGTTACCGAAGTAACTGCTTTGATTTCTAGTCTAACCTACCAACGTTGTGATTTGATCTTAGGTAGACGAAATCAATCAGGCGTCGGGCCATAGTGCAAGCCGAATTCGGGGCAAAGGTGATACCGCACAAGTATATGTAAAAGAAAATAAAGTAACAACTCGAAAGATGTGTTAAAAAAAGAATAACAAGTATCTTTATATCTGGTTTCTGAATAAAGGACTGCGTCTTTCTCACAAACCGCTTCTAAGGATACGTGGCACTTTGCGTTTCTTAGGCGAGTCTTAATATCTTAAGTTGTTTTTCAATAAACTGGTTTTTGGTATCTTCAGGCGATATTCGTAAAACTTGTTTTGGTGGTGCGACTCTAATGCGTTCTTAAAAAAAATTGTTTTTGGTTAGAAGTCTAAGTCGGATTGCGTGGACATCTTTCAGTCAGCTCCTGCGAGGCTGGTCTCCGAGCTCACTGCTCAACTGCAACTCAATTCTGTGACTCCAACTATCTGTGTTGTGACTGCCCCAACTGTGTCTGTCCAACTGTGACTTTTGCTCTGGGGACGTTCGTTTATATGGACGCCGACCAAAATCGGGTGGGGGCCTGTCGTGGTTTGGGTTCCTCGATAATTCCAAATCCGCAATAAGGATTTTTTTTGTTTTCGGACAGGAAAATTTTATCACTTCCCATTTTTGGAAGTCAATTACTTTCTGTTTTAGAGGGTTTCTTAAGGGAATTGTCCTCCTAAATTCTTCCTTTCTCATATTGGTATCTCACACCAATCCCTTCAGAGGGCGTCAACAGGTTTCCTTTCTTTCTCATATTGGTATCTCACACCAATCCCCTCAGAAGGCGTCAATAGGTTTCCCTTCTTTCTCATATGTTCACCTTCGCTCATCGCTCACGCCACCACTCAGTCAATGAACGCTCGGCATTGTGGGTGTGGCTGGACTGGCCTCACTTTACAATTATCGCTCAAAGAAAAAAATTATCTTCCTTTTTCTTTTCTTTCTTTTCCACCGACTAGAACTCCCACGAATCGTACTGTGGACATTAAATATCTATCTTAACTTGATGTCATCTGGGATTCATCCACGGGATTTTCGCCAAGTTATTATCTGGGTGGTCAATTGAATCTCTTTGTCTTTCTCAACATCATCGCATTCTGGACATAACACAGGTGGCTCTCCTTCCAAAACCAAATGATATCTCCGAAAGATAGTTAAAGGCTTATTCTTTTTCTTTTTCTCTTCTTCCTTCCTTTTTCTTTGGGGTGGTCTCACCTAATTCTTTCTCGGTCGCATGCTTGACCCAATTTTCGATTATCTTCTAGCATTCTGCTTTGTAAGCCTTTTGACCAAATTGAAATTTTCATTATTGCCATGGGCAGATTGCTATCTTTTATACGCATTCTGACGTTCCTCGCCGGGTCATGGCATAAATTAATTCTGACAGATCCGAGATCTTACGAATTTTCTATCTTCTGCGAAAAAAAATACTTTTCTTCGCAAATGAAAATAAAATCTTTACTCATTTTTCTTTTGTTAAAAAAAATAACATCACTCAGTATGTCCCTCGTCACAGCTTCTTCTCGCCTTAAGTATTTCTCGCTTTTAATTTCCATGCTTAATTAGTTAGCCAAAAGCTAAATAGTGTCACAATGTTTACATTATAACAGCAGAAAAAAAAAAAAAAATAGCGCGATTACACCAAACTTCGATCACGTGACCACAATAGAACCAATTATAAGCACGCATGAGCAGAAGGCCGTATAAAAAATCTAAAGAAATATGGCGAAAGTACAGATAATTTTTGATCATCATAGATTACACCTTGTTAGAAGATAGTTTTTTTTTGTATTGACGTGTTTATTCCTAATGTTGTTAATTCTTCAAGCCGCAACCTTTTTTTATGATTCAGCCAATATGAGGTCTGGTAAAAAAAAAGTACCGGGACTGGTGCGATAAAAAGAAAACTACAACATATATCAATTCGGCATTTAATCTCCTTCTGTTGCCACCCACTTTATCCAGTGTCGTTTCCATTGATGGAAGCATTCCTCGAACTCCTTTCTTTTGGGATAGCGAGCATATGCCTCGTCGCATTCTCTTGGATTTCCTCGACGTCTTGGAATCTTGTCATTTTCAAGTGGGATTTGCAAGGTGCGAGATCTGAGGAATATGGTGGTTGTCGGAACTTCGGAATGCTGTGCTTGGCCAAAAACTCCTGCACAAGCCAAGATCTCTGATGGAACCTCTGTGGTGTGTTAAGATGATAACACTCTACACATTTTCATTACAAGCACTGCTATAAATAACAAAAGAGAACGAGAACATTATAACTTATTGTATTTGCGTGACAGAGTTCGAAGTCAATCTGTGCTAAGCGGCTTCACTCTGCGTACTTTAATTCTGTTACCGTACCAACATCCCCAATGTTTTTTTATCAGACAACGTATGGTAGAAAATGAGTTGAGGCACAGTATTATGAAGTAGACGCATCTGATGCTGAATTCTTAGAGAGAGACAGAAAGAGAGAGAGAGAGTTGATAGATATTGAGAGAGAGAGAGAGTGGTAGATATTGAGAGCGGGTGAAAATTATAATGAAAGTCGAGAGAGAGAGAGAGAGAGAGAGAGAAAAATGTTTAGAGCATGTGGAATTAGAAATATGCTGATAGAGAGGGAAGGGTCGAGAGATAAAAGGAGAGAAGTCAAAGAGGAGGGAGGTCGAATGAGAGAAGTCGAAAGAGAGAGCGAGAGAACGGTTGAGAGATGTTGAGAACGGTCGAGAGAAGTTGAGAGTGAGGTCGAGTGAGAGAGAGAAAGAGAGAGGCAGACAGGGAGGGGTCGAAATATATGAACTCGATTGAGAGAGAGGTTGAAATAGAGAGGGATTAAGATTGAAAATCCGAGAAAGAGAGTAAGAGAGAGAGAGAGAGAAGAGATTGAGAGAGAGAGAGAAGCTGAGAAAGAGAAAAAATATCTCGAGAAATAGAAAGAGATTGGGGAGAAAGGTTGAGAGAGAGAAAGAGAGAGAGAAAGTGAGAAAGAGAGAGAGAGAGTGTGTGTGGGGAAAGGCGAAAACGAGAGATAGAAAGTGATAGGTTGAGGGAGAAAAAGAGCAATATATATAGAGAGGTCAGATTAAAATATAACCTTCCAACCAAGTTGAATTTCTGTTTGACATTTTTCGACAAAATTTCCGACACCTTAACAAACCCTTTCTAATGAGAAGCTTTTTTTTTTCGCTCGCGGCTTCTCCGTTCAGGTTGGGTGCATTTTACGACTCATGTCCAAATGCCTTTTCAGCAACAACAACGACGCTTTATTGACGTAGCGAAAGAAAAGTTTTTGAGAGAAAGACTGACTGAACGAATGAAAAAAAAAGAAAAGAAAAAAGCCCACTGCCCTTAAGGTATGGTCTTCGAGAAAGGAGAAAGTATGTAAGCTGTTGAAGAGAGGATCGCGCGCATGCGTACACAAAACGACAAAGCAGACTTGTTATATTCTAACAGAAGAGTGAAAAGAAAATAATCAAGTCTGAAAGAAAGGACACGTGATATTGAGCTATGGTTAACAAGCTTCTCTGAAAGAACAATATTACTGCATTGAGTTCGATTCTCACATGTAACACACTGTTAATGGCATTGTGTTACAGTAAAATACATTAGTATATGTTAGTAATCCTTGTAGGATATCGTTAATGTACGGAGTTCGAGCCTCACCAGATACGGTAAACTTGTTTCATCGTGCCAGACTAAGTTAAGTTTAGTAAAAGTAGATTTTCTGTTTAAGATAATTGTGCATATCCTGTGTCAGAGTCCAGTATTCATACGTAAGCATACCGAATGTGAGCAAGCCCCCACCATATTGGCGTAACACAATCTTTCTGTCTATATTTCGCCAATAACTAAATGTCTTCCAGCATATTAAGTTAAGCTTAGTAAATACCAGTGAAGTCCGAGATAGAACAAGATACATAGATAGTTAGATAGATAGATAGAGTGAGAGAGAGAGAGAGGGGGAGGGAGAGACAGACAGAGAATGGGAGAGAGAAAGACAGAGAGAATAAGAAGTTTCATATCATAAAGCGATTGTTGGCGGTGGTCGCCCAATACGTTGCTCGTCAGTTCGATCCTCAATAGATGCTTTTCTACTTTTCCTTTTAAAACACCAGATAAATCTAATATAAATGAATTTCTGATCATTTGACTATAAATAGGTTATTTTTTTATACCTCAACTAAATATATTTTGAACGCAAGTGTATATAAAATTTATTGTTGATAAATCTAATATAAATGAATTTTCTATAAATAGGTATTTTTATACCTACATAGTGTTTTCTTTTTGTTTGGGGGTTCACTGTTTGGCTATTGCTGGGATCCTAACAGGTGATACCACTCCGAGACACTCTTCAAAACCAATCTCCCGAACAGAGGCATTGCTGCCGGGTGTAGTTTATCGTCATACATAGGTCTGGTATGGGTGTGGAGTTAAAGATAACGGTTAATCTTAGACTTGAAGAGGTTAAGATTTTAGTGACTGGAAAAGTATGAGAAGAATGTGATTTTAAAACTAGAATGACAACGCGTATACTCTGAATTCTTACACTAGAGCTATCAAAGAAACCGAGAAAACTGTGGCATATAAGGATAATGTTTGTCCTCATAATCACTGGATCACCTGAAATTATATCAAAAGATTAGATGAATTATGTAAACATACAAATTCATGTAATAATAATAATAATAATAATAAAATGATCACGTTTGTTTTGACGAACCGTACTTACTCTTTTTTTCGAAGCGAACAGCATTCTTCCACTAGAACAGAAGGGGTGCAGGAGATGTTCATATGGTTGCAAAGATCAACTACTGAAAAACAAAATGATCCTGGAAAATTGCAGGAGACGATGTAGAAATCTTAGCTCAGCCTGGATTGATTATCGTAAAGCCTTTGATGGTGTGCCACTATCTTGGATCCTTAAGACTTTGGAAATGTCCGAAGTCTCCACCGTGTTAGTAAATTTCCTTAAACACTGCATGGGAATTTAGAAAACTACGTTATACCTAAATCACACCAGAGACAATGCCATCTCCAACCGCCTGAATATCTGACGAGGAATCATTCAAGGAGACTCCCTATCACCCCTTCTGTTTTGTCTGTCCCTAATTTCCCTCACGCATGAACTAAATAACAATAGCTATGGTTACAAACTAAACAAGAAAGTATTCAATCATTTACTCTACGTGGATTATCTCAAAATCTTTTCCAAAGACGATAATAAGTTGAAGGGTCTCCTCAATACTGTAAAATGTATTGACGTGACGACATAGGTATGGATTTCGGATTAGATAAATGTGCAAAAGTAACATTCAAGAAAGGGAGAATTATAGAAACACATTCGATAGATTTAGATTTTGTCACAAAGATTAGAGAACTGGAACAAGATAAAGCTTATAAATAAATACCTAGGAACTAGCGAAGGAGATGGTATAGAGTATACCAAAATGAAGGAGAAAGTAAGAAAGGAGTACTACAGGCGTGTGCATCTGGTACTGAATACCGAGTTGAATTCAAAAAACAGAATATCATCTATAAACACCTTGGCTATCCCTGTGGTTCAATACAGTTTCAACATTCTTAACTGGACCATAGCTGACATTAAGCGAATGGACGCCAAAACGAGAAAGCTTCTCACTTGCTACAGCATGCATCATTCCAAATCCAAATCCGAAGGAGGCAGAGGATAAGTTCAACTAGAACTGTCTTACAAAACTACAACAATTGACCTTCAAAGATACCTGGAAACTACTTGATGATGATATGTGTCAAACAACATGAAAATAGTAAGCGACTTTATTCCGTAATAAAGAAAGCCAACAAGTTCAAAATAGAGTTTCAAATGGGTGTAGAAATACAAGGAAAGCACGATACACCGACTGAAGCTGCAAAATACTTTTAAAAAGAGAGCAAAATCAAATGAAACCGATACAGAAATGATGGCAAGGTAAACCGCTTCACGGACAATACTCTGCCCGTACCAATCAAACTGATGCAGACAAACTCCGTACCCATCAGTGGCTACGTAGAGCAGGGTTAAAAGCTGAATCCAAAGTTTTTATCCTTGCTGCACAGGACTAATGCTTGTTAACTAGAAATTATCAAGCACACATACTAAAATATTGTGTTAGCCCAAAATGCAGATTCTGTGTTAAATATCCAGAAATAATTAATCATCTTGTATCAGCTAGCACGGTATTGACAACCACTGAATATAAAAAACGGCATGACAGAGTAGGCCAAAATATGCACTGGAAAATCTGCAACTTCTACGGAAAGGAAACCGAAAGAAATTGGTATGAATACCAACCAGAATATTTTATGGAGATAGGACCTGCAACAATTTGATGGGACTACACAATACACACAGACAGAACACTCAAAGCTAATCGCCCCGGCATCGTTATTAAGAGACCGCAAACAAAAAAATTGCCTTTTGTTTTTTTTAATTGCTCAGTGGAAAATGTCATGATGCCATTTATGACCTTAGGTCTCTGGAAAGGACCCGGAAAGGAACGAGTACACACCAGAAATCAAAAGAAATAAAACTAATAATAATAATAATAAAGGCAACAAAGACACGTTCTGGGGTAATGAGGAATACTCATTTGAATTTCCATTTAAACGTCATGGGGACTATATATATTAAGTTCGTCGAGCTGTATTGCTGCAGTCAGAAGATGTGGCTTATAGCCTTGAATGTTATCAACCGTTGATGATTATGCATTTAATATATTTTATATTCTGTCTTTAAAAGTTATTAGAAAATTAAATGACGGTTAAATTTATAACCTAATGTTATCTATATCTATAAAACAGAAGATGTATGTGTGCATGTGCGAGTATCTGTCTGTGTGCGTGTATGCTATTTATGCACGTCCACATTTCTCGACCGATTTCGATGAAATTGTACACACATGTTTTAAATTTACGACCAACTTTTCAAACTCCAGCCCCCACCACCGGGTTTGGCAGAGAAATCGATAAAACTGAAGGTGGGCACGGCTTTTTGCAAAACCAAGGTAAAGTTACACGAGAAATTTTTTTTTTACTGGATGAGCTGTTGTTCTTTACACATAATGCAAAACATGGCTTTTGTTACGAGGTTTATGTAGAGTGCTTGATAGTTTTCCTGCGACATTGGCTTCACACAAAAAATGAAAAAAAAAAAAAAAAAAATTGAAAAAAATCGGATTTTTCGTACTACTTAAAATAAAAACTTGAATAACTTCTTCACCTTTTATCCGATTTTCTTCAAACATGTCGCAAAATATTGCCATCACGTAAGAAATAAAATACGTAGTTTTAGTCCTGCTTGCTCTCCCGGGTATAACGAATAACCACAAAAAAAAATGTTCAAAAAGCCCGTTTTTCGGCCATAACTCCCTGGTTTTTCATCATATGCTTTGCAAATTTGCCATGTAAATTACATATGACACACAAATTGTCTTGTGTGAATGTTTGGTTTAGATTATTTCAGTTAAGTGGACGAAATCTGCAACAAACTAGGTTCAAAATTGGCATTTGCCATTTAACCAATAGTTTCTTCATGTAATTCCATCCTAAATTGGTATTGGAACAACCTTTGATGCAAAGATTGTTTCAGAAGGATTATTGAAGGGTTAACAGGGAATAATTCCCGAAGAACATCTTATTAACCTCCGCTTTACAGTAAACGTGCGAAGGAGGAGGCTTTCATGCATTTGCACTTGCATTTGAATCAAGCACTGACGCTTCACCACTGTTTTTGTTTGATTATTAGATTTGTGAACAATGCCATACTATTCGAAAGTTATTACGGCCATAGGAAATTTACTGAATATCTAAAACATTGAAACAGTTTAACCCTGAGTAACGACCACACAAGAAGGTATTATCGATAGAATTCTTTTATTAAGGACAATCAAACAATTGCGAAGGACATACCGTAAAAAATAAGAGTGGGGAGTAGCTTAGTATACCAACGGATAATGTATGCAAGTGGAGACGTAGGCAGAAATTTCTAGACAGGGGGGTGCGGGTATACAAGACGGTGCGGTTATACAATTGCAACCATGTACCTCGTCTAGTTTAAAATAAAATAAAATCTTTTGCTCATTTCGTTTATTAGACATTAAATTATTTCACTTAGTTGTTCTTCATAGATTACTCAGACTTTTCAGCTAATCTGATGAATATTTATGAGCGTTTCTTAAATTTAAAAATTTAAAAAAACTGACATCATTTTTGCTATTGTCTATAAATATTTGTTACAAAATAAAATCTTTTCATTTGCCTTGATAAATTTTTTCAGAGAACGAAACACACTTTTGTCTTTATTTATTGTCCTTGGTGTTTTTATGTATGCGCTCTGCACTTTGGCAAGATCTGACGAGAGAGGAATAAAAACCGGTTACGTGTTTGATTTCTTTTGTCCTTCTTTTTGTTTTTCAATTCATTTCGTCATGGTAACTATAAATTATTTTATTGCTTCTTTTCCTGCTTTTTGATTTTAATAAGTCCAATTTTATTGCAAATAATAATAATACTAATTGCCAGAAAAGGATAATTCTACAGTCCTAAGTCATTTAACCATATATACTTCCCACACTATAGAAACATGCCAACAGAGTTTATATAAATAAGAAAAGACGTCAAAAATCATAAGAGCTACTTCATGTACATTATCACATTTGATAAAAAAAACAAGTTGACAAATAGGTGAAACAGAAAATGCAAAAATGTAGCGTTTAAACACAGCCACTGATTCAATAATAATAGGAGTATTTTTCTTCTTCCATAAGCAATCATGGCTCTTCAAAATTCCTATCCCTTGTGGCCCTTAGTAGTTTTTCTACTTTCCCTTCTCCATTCGGCCATCTATTCACACAAACTTGTCAGTTATGTAGCTCGCTGCCTTTCTCTATCTCTGTTTCCTAAATATGCCCTCCTTCCTCATTATGCGTCTAAGGAATTTCAGTTTTCCTTATTCTGAGCATGTCTTCTTTTTGTTGTTATTTTCCTCAAGACTTTTTCGTTGCTCACTCGCTCCGTCCATGGAATTTTCAGTATCCTTCTAGAGAACCACATTTCTGTTACCTGCAGTTTTCTCCTCATCCGTGGGAAGAATGTCCAACATTCATTGCCATATAAGGGGATGGATA